AACATCGCATGCAGAAAAAGAAGTTATAATATAAAAAGTTTCGAAGTACAAGCCAAAACTCATGATTAAATAGATAGAGTGTTCTGACAAACGATGAGGAATAATGGTAATAATAACCTTGACTAAATAATAGAAAAAAATATAGTAACATTTTTCTTGAAACAGATATTGTGAACAAGAATGAAACAAAGATTGTGAAAAAGAATAACTGAACTAATACTGTACAGCACCCTATATGAAAATATAATGGTGATGCAAAATAGTACAGAAGTGCGATAGGACATCAAGTAGCGTGATGTAATGTAAGTATAAGGAGAGAACAGTGTACTGAAATGACCAGTGGGTGAGTCAAAAACCCCGATCCTCTGATTTGGTGACTGGTGTTGTAATCGTTGAGCTGTCGATGATTATGCAAGGAGAAAGAAGATCATATATACCGACTTTGTACTCAGCCCTTACTTACTCATCTCCTAAGAGATCAGTTACTAAGTATATAAGTTACTTAGTAAAGTAATACTTTGTGATGTATAAAGTAATACTTAGTAATATATATACTTAGTGATATATACAGGGTGATTCTAAATTGCTTTTATAAATTGAGAGGGGTGATAGTATTCATCCAGCTGAGCAATAATTACCATAGAACATAGAGCCGCATTCCAGTCTGAGAGGCAGAAAAAAGGAATATTAGAATTCCAACCTGAACTTACAACAGTGTTGGGAGAGTGAATGAACGAGTCCAAAAGTTGCGCAATCAGTTTAGTGAAAAACTCCCAGAGAGTGGGAAAAAAAAAAAAAAAAAAAAAAAAAACGGATAAAACCGAAAACTTGGCGTTCGAAGGTTAATTCGAGCTCAGACTTTAATGATAAACACTCAAATGCACATCTTAGGTTCGCAAGGTCTCAACCTCGCAAGCAATTGCAAGATGTTAATTATCTAATCAATTGCTCCTCTGGATCAGTACTATTATCCCTCTTTAATTTGTAAAAACAATTTAGAATAACCCTGTATATATAGTTACTTATATACTCCGCTGCCCAACCGATGTGTGGTTATAGACCCTGACTGCCGTAGATGGGCCTGGGCTCGAATCCCAGAGAAGGCATGGTTGTAACTGTCCGTCCCTTCAAAAGATGTATTATTGGCAGCCTGTTAGGTACTTCCATAATGAAATGGCCGCCACTTCCGGCCCTTGTAGTGGTGCAAGCTATTAAATAATGCGCCCGGCCATTGAAAAATATATATATATAATTATATATATTATCCAGTTTTTTTTTCCAGTGTTTTAAATTATTCTTTGCATCCTAATTCATTTTTAATTATGTTCACTTTTCACCCAAATTATTGCAAGTTTGATCGGGGCGATGGCTAAAAAGGGCGAAGCACTGGATGGTTTGTTTTGGTTTATTTCATTATGGCGAAGCACGCAACGGCTACTTGCCGAAGGGGAGGGATCAGAGCCAGATTTAGACTTAATAAGGCCCTAAGCTATTTGAGATATGGTGCCCTTTATAAGTCTGTTATACTATATTATAATTTTTGGGGCCCTAAGCTATCGCTTGTGTAGCTTATACGTAAATCCTGCATTGAGAGGGATGCCTTCGTGGAGGTCTTTCTAAGCGAAACTGGCCCGTATATACATTACGCATGGAGAAAACCTCGAAAACACCCATGAAGCTAGACTTTTCGCTTCGAAACTTACCCAGGTCGGAACTAGCAGTGTTCAGCGACTTTACGGCTCGGCCACTGATCGGCGTGAAGATCTGTGGCGAAGAATAAGAAGATGACCCTGTGTTTAACTTTCTGTTGTATTTGTTTATTCTTTTCTTGCTTCCTTGTTGTTTCTTGTCCTGTTTGTTTTGCATTTATACCCATAATTCTGTATTTTATCCATTTTGAGATTCATTTACCTTCATTTGCTTTATCACGCCTAACCCGTATTTGCATTTATTTTATATGTGTGTATAAAATCATCATTCCATAACTCATTTCCATCCGGGCAAGCTTCTGCGAATCGCTTTTGTATTTTCTTACTGTCACTATCACTGAGTTTAAGTTCGTGTTGTGTTACTTGAAGGTGCTAAGTAAAGGTTTTTGTTCTAGTGCAGAAAATGATGCCTTTTGATTCGCCGCCAAATACCGACTCTATTACCGGTTTTCTAACCCAGAATCGACTCTGTGTCCCCAATGTTATGGCAGTCATTTTGTTATTATTTGTCAATATTTTTCTTTAGTTTAATCTGATTGGAACTTCTTAGCTGAATAATCGAGGACTATGTGATTTGTAGTACGCGTATCACACACTACAAATCACGTATTTATAATTTTGATCGTATTTTGAATTACTGGAATTTTAATTGCCGTTAATTTACCTTTAGTTTTCGTTAGCTGGTTGGTTCTAATTATTCGTTGTTAAATCACTTCCACAAAGAAGTATACATGGTAAAATAAAATTTAAAATAAAAAAATCATGATTTAGAGGGAATGGGTAAGAAAGCTATAACTGATTGATGTACGAATAAGATCTAATTAGTTCTCGCTATGAATGTCAAGTTGGTATGAAAGATATGCGTCTGGTCGAGCTTAAGGATCAATCTTGTGGCTGTGAATGGGTTTGTCACTAAAAAGGTTCGCGAAATTGGGGCTGGTACCAACGCCGTTGAGGTCATGTAGTGCCAGATTAAGTGTGAGTTTCGTAAGTGGGGTCTTCGGCATTCGTCGGACGATATTTTGTATCCCTGATTTGCGGAGTTTATTTGGCATCGCCAGTACCAGGATCAGGAGAAGGAGGAACTATTCTGGGACCACATGATTTGCATCATATATGTGCAACAGTCTATATGTGCACGAGGTTTTTTTTTTTTTTTTTTTTTTCTTTAAAGGGGGGTAACATAAGTTTTTGGCGTTGTTTTGGATGACAGCCATCTTGGAAATATTGCTTTTCGGAGTCTTACAAATTACCAAAAAATGTCAAGGGGTACCCAACTGAAAACTTTTACCAAAGTTTTAATAAATAAACTAAATTAAATAAACTTAAGTAAAATTTTTACTGCTTAAGTTAGAATCAATTAAGTATCCAAGTATACATCTCATGTTCGCGGGACTGGGAGAGGAAAAATTTGCAGAATTAACGCACATGGAACGCATAAGCTTTGCTTTTTATTACTAATTGGCAAGTTTTTTTTATCATTTTCTGAGACTTAGAAGCGAAAGGGGTTGAAAATGTTAGTGCAAAAGATGACTGATGATTGATAAGGATTTTGTAGGGGGGCAGTTGGGGAGTAATATTTTAACTCTTGTAACAGTTTGATAATCGAAGATATCCAATGATCGTTGCTATTCTTATACGTGAAGGATTTCAAGCAGTCTTTTTAAAATTTTTGTAGATATTCTAAGTAATAAATCCCTTTATGAAAAAGGGTATGGCTATGAAGAAGATGAATGAACGTTTAAACTACTTTTTTATGATTTTGAGTTACAAGGGGAAAAAAGATGTGTTAGATTAATAAGTTGACTGAATCTAAATATCCGGTATGTAGAGACAGCATGCATTGTGTAAAAGAAAGAAAGAAAAAAAAATGGATTTGAATGCAGTTGCTGAAAGCAAGGGAGTTTGAATCCGCATGATGTTTGTAGAAGTGAGAGGAGAAGTTCATGGTTTAACCAGACATTTGTGTATTTGTGACACTCTAAGGATTACGAGATACTGGTTTGAAAACCCGTACGAATGAATTTGTTATGAGTTCCGTAACTGCTGTCAGTCATCATCAAGCTGTATCCGCCGGTGGAGGAAGACGAGTAGAAAAACTGAGGTAAGTTAAAAACTTTATTTCTTTAAGTGTACCGCTATTTAATGATAGTGTCTCTTAGAATTGTAATCCTTCAGGAAACGCTGCTCAGATACGAGCCAAATTGACAGTTTTCAAAAGTGCGCTAAGTAGAGGTGAGCTAAAACACATTTTCTCCCGATGAAGTCGTAACCACGCATTTGTGATTGTAGCATATATTTTTATCAAAAACTTTTTGTTATAAACATATTTACCATGTCCCTTTTTAAGACAGGCAAAATTTCTTCAAACATATACACAAAATAATAGTGAAGAGGGACCATATTTCAAAATTTTCAATGATATTAAAACTTCAAGAGTTTATTGCAGCAAAATAATAAACAAAGATTACCTTATGAGATCATGGTATAATAAAATGGGAAATGTATCTTAATTTTTTTTTTTTATCTTTTGTTTCTTGTACGAAATTGTTGCATTTTATATGGTATAATACACCGCTTATGCTTATGCTTTTGAATACTATAGAATATTATAGAGTCATTACTTTATTTTGAAGCTGGAGACATGAAAAATGTGCAATGCCCTCGTCAGGACTCGAACCTGGACTTCTCGAATACATGCTGAGTGTGCTACCGTTACACCACGAAGGCATGCAGAAAGAAGGGGGAAATATTTAAAAGGCGACTGGGTATTAGAGGACTCAATCGCCAAATCCTAGTGGTAAAGAATCATCATCCACCATCATTTAGTTCGGGCGCCACTATAGAGTCATTTGGTTATTTTGAAGCTGGAGACATGAAAAATGTGCAATGCCTTCGCCAGGACTCGAATTTGGACTTCTCGAATACGCGCTGTGCTAAAAGGAAGAATGCAGAAAGAAGAAAGAACATACCATATATTTATAAGTATTACTGATTAATTTAGCTACGTATTATTGATAGCTGCCTTCAAAGGCCGGTATTTCTACTACCGTAATACTCTTCGGAACATAGTCTCCTTAACATTTTAATTATTGCATTTGGATCCTAAAGTATTTACATGAGGAGTATTACTTGAATTGTCAAGTTCTTAATGTGTGGATTTTTGTTTGTTTGTTTGTTTATTAAATCTTATACTTGTTTGTGTGCTTACGCTGTGCAATGCATGCATGCAATATAGCTTCTACTACACTCAAGCAATTAAAAGTTTTGTCTTTTTTTTATATTTTACAGGGCTTGTATTTGAGGTACAGAATCACAATGACTAATGATGAGCACAATTTATGGTTCAAACATTTTTCTGCGGACGAATTGTGTAAGTCCTTTGAATGATGTTTTTTAACAACAAATATAAGCAACTCAAAACAGTTACAGGATATTATTATTTTGAATATAAACTGAGGAAAAAGAAAAGTTTTGCTTGTTTGAAAAGTTTTGATATATCATTCATAGGTATTGTAAACTTTGCGAAAAGAAAATTATATTAAGAATAAGGAATAATTACATTTTGTTCTCTTTTTTTGTCGGAAAATAAAAAAAACACAGCCTGCGTATGTTCATAAAAATGAACACAGAGATGTGATTTCTTGGATAAAATTGAGTTTTAATAAGGGGTGGAGTTTCTTCTGATTGCAGACTTGTAGAGTGTGGGGTTTACGAAGCTGAGTTTATAAGGTTACTGAGAAGGGATTAGGATATTCTTCTGACACTCTTGTAAAGAGCAATTTCCAGCTATTCACTGTTTCTGAGGAAATTTTTGAAACATGTTCAATTGATTTTTGATTTGGAAACATGATGACAAACTCATTCGAAGGATTCCTTTGTCGAAAAAAAGTCGTCCACGAGACGAGCATAATATAGGCTAGCATTATCATAAATCAGGAAAAATTCATCTCCGATTTTTGCGATGTAGTCCACTTTCTTCAAATTAATCAATTAGGTCCCTAAACGCAGATTTATTCCGGTGTTACATTCTTATAAGCCGTTTATAATGACGCTGTATACTAAAGCAGGAGTCGTTTGAGAAAAGAACATTGCTTCATTCATTTCGTCCCCCATTGAGGCGCTCTTGGATCCAACTTCTGCTGGCAGTACGCTGTTAAAGAAATAAAAGTCATAGGTCTGCGAGCATGCAAACCAGCATCATAGAGTCGATTTACTTTGAATGCTAGTTGCCCTTCGTAGGTGCTGTTATAGAAATGTGGCTCTGACACTGCGGTTTCTTCTGTTAATGACAAATACGGCTCCTTATTTTGTGTTGCTATAAGCCTATGATCTTCTGATCTTCACCTAACATTTTTAGCTTTCAAAAATTGTTTACATAGTCTTTAAATGACATTTTAGGACACTCCATAGACTTCCATTACAACAGGTTAGGTTTGGTCTGTTCCTAAACAACTGATGATCCTCCAGGTAACCAATTCGAAGTCATGTTCCGGACACATCGTACTATGAAGCATTTAATGCATGTGAGTTATTATGAAGCATTTAATGCATGTCAGTTTCTTTTCATGTTCCTGTATGTAAAAAATGCTTCAAGTCACTTTCCATTTTTTTTATCGAAAAGATGTAATTTTCAAAGTCGGAGACAAAATTTGCACTTTTCGAGCTTTAATTAGCTTGACAATTTTCTTTTTAATATTTTTTCTTTCATTTTTACTAAAAATTTAAATGATTAATGGTTTTTTCACAACGCATTCACAGTATTACCTAATTGTTTTGATCAGTATAGTTATTTTTAACATGAATTTTAATATAAATGAGTAAGTTACGAATAAGAAAATAAATGTGAGTAATCAGGATTTAATGAAAGTTTAATGATTTATGACATTGAAGATTTATGACCAAAATTAAATTTTTACATATTCTGTACTAAAACGAATATTTAATCCTAAGTGTCATAAAACCGAATTTCTTGCGAGAAACTTAATTTTAAAAAAATTAGATATTATTCTAATATCTGTGTTTTTCAGATATTAGATAATTATCTTCGATTTCTGTTGCAAGGATCTGTAGGAATATCTTCTTTACAATTATTACTCATGACATCACTAATGTTTCCACTGCATCTCTATATCATTACATTTAATATTTCTATTATTCTCCACGATTTCATAAAATGAAATCATAAAGATTAGATATTGCATAAAATATTAGTAACATGACATCATAAAAGACATCATAAATAGACTCATAGACTCATGACATCATAAAAGATTAGATATTGCATAAAATATTAGTAACATTATATAATACCATATATATACTTATTATATGCATATACTTAATATTACTGTTTTCTGTAGTTCAATATCTTCTAAAATATGTAATGTTTAAGTTATTAGAATTAATACGTTTTTCTTACTCTTGTTTTTGGGTTGTCCGTTTCCTGATTTATACTCCAAAGCATTACTCAAAGTAATTCAGCTAGAATAAGAATTGTTGTCTGCAGATGCAGAAAGAATACCTTAACAAAACGAAACGAGATTATATTCATACAACCCTCGGGTGGCTACGTAATCCTCTCTGAATGGAATGGTGGTTAGGCTTACTCAGAGAGGTATTTACAGAATCTTCAACTAAAGTAGGATCTTTGGAGAGATGGCGAGCATCTTCCGCCGTTCCACTAAACCGATATGATCTCCTTCCCAAACAGGAGAGGGGAATATGTCAATAAATCAAGATATATCTTCTCGATCACATGATTAAATAAATTATTCACGGTTGATTAACAGCTCCAGATAGCTTTTCTGATAGAATATTCGTTTTCAAAGAAAGAAATTCTGGATACAAACTCCAACAAGCGCCATACCTAAATTAAGCAAAACTTTAATCATTATATAGTTTAAACAGAGGCTAGGTAGTTTAGGAATACCAAGAACGAGCAGCTTTGGTTTAATTGTATTAGAAGACACCGCAAATAATATCCATTCCCGATAAAAAGATATGAAACCATCGGTTTGGGAATAAACGACGGATATCCCGAGATTTAATAAGCTCTAAAAATACGCGTGATTAAAAACTCTAATTTTTTTTAAAGAGGGATTACTTCCTTTAATGAAAGCGAATTACCGAACCATATATAAATATTTACGTAATGTAGATACAATAAGATTAGATTAAATCCTAATAGATACAAAAGTTTAAAACAAACTGTATAAGGTTTATTTTAATTAACATATAATTGCTTATGTTAAAATCTGTCCTACATCTCTGCAGTTTCGTCTACTCCACCAGAATATGTAAAGGAGAAAAGATTTAAATAGAAATAAGCATTTAAATTCAAGAATGAAGAATGCCAAATTCAGCTGGTCATAATGAAATTTCACCATTTGTGCTAAGTAAGCACTGTTGGTATCAGGTAGTGAATTTTCTTTTTGATTAACTATTAAGTAATAATTGTACAGTTAAAGCAGATGAAAATTTTCCTGTTAGGATAGAAGGTTAGATTAGTATTTAGATTAAGCTAAATTAAGTTTAACCTTATAAAAAATTTATTTAATCACAACTTGAATGTTATGAACTTGAAATAAAATTATAATTGCAACAACTGCTGGCTAAAAGTATAAAAGACAATTTCATTTAATGATTCAAAATAACGAAAGATCTTAGTTAAATCTCCAAGAGGTCGTACATAACTTTTGCCGTGATTTATCTTCTAAATTAACTAGACCTTGAATGAATTCAATATCTGAACATGGATTGCAGACACTCTAGATATTTGTGTGCCGAATCACTTGGATCTGCTCACTAAAACTGTCAGTTAAAAACGCTGCAAATCTGAATAGCAACTAGAAAATATAACGTTAGAAAACTCTCTTATACCGCTCGCTTCGTTTCCTCAAGTTACATATAAGACCTAAACGTTATTTGATGTTTTATCGCTTAAAAATACTTGGAGTAAATTAAAAACATGAAAAAGGCCTTCTTAAACATCATCCTCATCCATCACAGCTCACTCAGCTCAACATCAAAACCCTACCTCCAAGAAGGAAAAATCGTAAAGTTATGAAAATTGGAGGGGGGACTGCGAATGTAGTTAAAACATGCAAACGATCAAATATTTAAGCGCCTAGCTCCGTATGGGAAAAGCTTAAACGGTATAAAACCTGATCGAATGCCACTATTCTTAACCATTCGGCCACTGATGGGGTTGTATACGAAAAAGGTAAAGCAGAACAGCTAACTTACTAGCAAAATTATAAAACCTTAATTCCTTTAATCCTCCCCCCATTTTTGCTGCAAATTCAGTGAGCGTTGAATGAACAACGAACATATTTAACCAGTATCTAAGGCATCTATTATTTATTATGATCAGATGGAGGCAGAAATTCAGTTGTACACGTGTAATCCCCCTGATCAGTATAGTGGTCAGTGAGGCTGAGTGCCGGATCGATGGGCCCGAGTTGGAATTCTGATAAAGGTATAGATGCTAGCAAATGTACAGTGACTGTGCAGTATGAGAGCACTCATAGCGAGGAGCCGAAAGCCCTCTCGAGTTGATTGGTGTTGAGGAAAGAGGGATGGAAAACACTCGGACAAGCCCCTGGGTGCTCTCCAGCAGTAATTGGGGGGAGCTTCACAGATTGCGCAGTAGGACAATACGTGTAAAATTCTAAGTGTTAAAGTATTTTCTCCAAAATTCTAGTGATATATTAAGTGGTGCCCCACTCTCTTGCAGCAGTACCTGTACTCGTATAAGCAAACGTGTTTCAGATATTCCATAAAGGGAAAATATTAAGTATTTTCTGAAGTAATTTTCTGAAGAACGTCTGATGTTTAATATAATATTTATTATTCTCATCTTATTTAACGTGACGTGAAATTTAAATTAATGAAATCTTTATCTGATAGGCAGAAAGTAATATTACATTTACTTATTTTTTTCAGATATTTTGCAAGTGGATATTTGTTTTCTTGTGCTGTACATTGTGCTTCTACTTATGTCCTTCGTCGAAACTCGTAAGCACAGTTTAATAACTACTATATTTTATAATAAGAAATTCTTATTTTCTATATTTATTTAATTTTTAAATCCTTTTACAGAAGCGCTTCGAGCTCGTCACCTCTTACACAGAACCTATTTATTATACCTGCTTTCTGTCATCCTTGAATGCTGTGGCTTATCCTTTCTTTGCGCATATTATGCAATTTATGCGCAACAGGGATCTTCTGGAGCAGGACTGAAACTTATGGGTTAGTTGTATAGCCATGTATTTGAATTTATTTTTAATCAGTATTGAGCTCGCAGTTAAGTCAAGGGCCGCCCAGACGGTATAGTGGTTAGGGAAGCCGACTGCGAAGGGCTCGGGTTCGAATTTCGGAGTAGGCATGGATGTAAATTGTCTGTTACCTCATAGGAGGTAACGATGGCCGCCTATTAGGTGCCTCCACAATAAAATGGATCGGCCACTGTTGAAAAAAAGCAAGTGCCATTCGATTAAAAAAAAAAAAGTTAGGTCCAGGGCTTTAATTAGCAAATGAATTAGCATAGCAAATGAATCCTTAACATATGCTCCCCACGCCAATTACAACATACGTTTATTTTTATTTTCCTTTCTTTCATTTTGCTTTAAATTTTGTCCAGTTTGTTCAATATTGCTTTTACTTTTACTAGTGTCTCCTTTTTGGCACACTGGTGCTTTTTTCAGATTCTGCAATAATATCTATTTTATTTATTAGATATTACTTCAATTGAGCTCCGGACTTACTGATGATAGCGGATTGGCTATCACTTACACTAAGAAAGCACGCAGTGGGAAAAATGAAAATTGCTTACATATTTTAAATTAAAAAAGGCATATGACATTTTTTCCCTTAAAGTTGTTTGAGTTTTCCTTTTAACGTTTTGCCATTTCATGCCATTCTGTTTATCATTTAATCAGCACGTTTTGATCCTTTTGATGATGTTACTGAGAACGATGTGGAATAATTAAGTTAAATATTACTAAATTCTGCCATTGTTACCACGATAATTTATATTTGTATATTACTTTTTCCTTAACAATAAGCCCACCAGCGGCCGAGCGGTAACGTCGCTGAACACTGGTAGTTCGGTCCGAGGTTCGAATCCCGCGAACGGGCTGGCTGCATGGGCGTTTTCGTGGTTTTCCCCATGTGTAACGTGTATACGAGCCAGTTTCCCTTAAAAAGTCCTCCACGAAGGCATCCCTCCCTTAATGCAGATAGCCCTCGAGTGCTTTGCCATAATCTAATAAAACCAAAACCAACCAAACCAAACCAAACCTTAACAATAACTTTATGTACATTAAAAAGAGATTAATTTAAAACTTGTTATTTGCTTTCTCGTATGTATAGGATATACTAGAATTGATAATCACAGCTTTAAGAAATGATAGCACATGGCTAAAAATAGCAATTTTCGTAACACTATGTGTGGTGGAATATGAAATGTGAATGCGAAAACACAATAAGTACGAAGAACATGGAGAATGAAAAGTCGTTTTAATCATCGATATTTGCAAGAAATAATGGTTGCAAGCTCACTACAATTTTTTTCCTATTATATATATAATATATATAGATATCTCCTATATATATATTTATATAATTCTATTTCGAATAGAATATTTATATTAGATTTTCTCTATTTATATATCTATATATTTATATTATAATATATATATAGATCTTTCTTCCTATATATATATATATAGCCAAGAAGTGATTACATTAATTTTATTTTTCGTTTTTAATATTTGCGACAGATAAAAGTGAATGCTTTAACATTGGCAAAATAATATGCCTTTGTTATCACGGAGTGAGTGCAGAAGAAGGGGAAAAAAGTCTATAATCATATTTAAAGATAGCCTTGTTACGTAAAAACTAGCTCTGTCACTAAAGAAAGCCACGTAGTGGTCGATGACAGTATGAAATGGGATTTCAAAGAAACTCCGTTTACGGATCAATGAGTTGCGAGGCCGTAACTAAGCGGCGTCAAACAAGCTGTATCACAAATCATACAGAACGTTCCTAAATAGCAAGGTCGTCGTCAGAATACTGCTCTTAACAGCATTGCATGGGCCTTTGATATTCCCAATTTCAGGAATTGGGGCCAAGTTCTCTGTCTTATAAATGGATATACAAGTCCTATTTTCTGTTCCGTTACAGTTTCGGTTAGAGCAGCGGGATTTTATACTTTGCAGAGACGTTAAGGAATTTTTCTGAAGAATGTCTGATGGTTTACTGCCTTTTGTTTTAAACAAAGAAAAATAATTTATCAATAATTCATTAACTATCAATAAAGCATAAATAACATAAATAATAATATATGTAATCACATGCACATTCAACATAAAAAAATTTTTACAGTTGGGCAGATTCCTACAGATTTCCTACAGATTCCTACAGATCTGAAATTGTTATCCATGAATCGTTTTCATGGCTGTGCGTGTTAAGAACTTCATATTATTTTTAGAAAAAATTAGCAGAAATATTAATTTTTTTAAAGTAATATTATTTATTGATTTACTTGATTTCCGAAATAATCTGCTGTGTATTATTTTCAATATAATTTTTGCTTTACTGTGGTTGAGGAACTCAGCTACATAAACTATAGTCTAATGTAATATGTTATGATCTGAAATTTTGTATGATCAGTAGTATGCCACTTCTTTTCGTTTAAAAAATAAAAATGTCAAAAATTAATTTTATTTTCTTAGTTCTCATGGCACATTTAATGAAATTTAAATTCTACCAAAACTAAAAATGGGTAGTAAATACGCGTTCTTGAAAAGAATTTAAAACTCACTAATTAAATATTTAACTATACATTACATCAAATATACTTCATATTTTATGTTTCCTCTTGTCTTTAGGCAAAGTTTTTGAAGCTCTAAGTACGTTATTCTTACTAGCTTTGCTGATATTTATCGCAAAAGGTTACACTGTAACACGAGGAAGACTTCGCCAAAGAACGCTGCTGAAAATAATCGGATTCTTAAGCTTGTATGTCCTCGTTTATGCATCATTGTTCTTGCATGAACAGAAAGTAAGCAATTACGTTATTAGAATCAGCATATTAATGTGAATTTATATATAATTATTGATTTATTATAATGATATTATGTAATTTATTGTAAATTAGGTAAATCTGAAATTTAAATTAAATGATTTTTTTCAAAGTCAGAACGGCTTATTCAGTATAGTATTGTTAGAAGCTTTTTAAAGATGCAACTTGGAAACTTTCATTGTAAACATTTTTGTGTTCTGAAAAATGATTAGTTTGCTTTCACATAGAAGTAGCTATTTCTTCCTCAAGGTGCATAGAAAAAGCATTCAGTCAATAGAGTTCCATAAACAGAGATATTTCTTTACATCATATGTCCTTAAAATTTTATTTTATCAAGTCTGTTAAACAAGATGTCAGTAATCTAAAAAAGAGTATTTTTCTAGAGAGTTTGAATGCAGTACAACATTAAAAGCTAATATGAACAACAAATGGTTTCAAAAACAAAAAACCTTAATAAGAATTTCCAACTTAAAGAAGGTATACTCATTATCCGCTTACTGTGTGGTTTAAACTTTCCATCAGTCAGTCAAGACTTCGACGGCGCATACCAATATTTATATGAAAAAATATGTCCATTTATATATAGTCCGTATGATTTCATTTGTTAGCTAATCGTGCTGATCAGCCATTTGAACTGTTAATTCAAATATACTCAAATATTTTTTGGTCAAGCTTCATTGAAAAGTAAATTTCAAGATTTTCATTATATACCTCGTTTCTTAAATTTTATTCAGTTTTATTCCTAGATTTTTAATAAATATAAATGCATTTTCAAAAATTATACTGATAAATATTTTTAACTCTTGTTAATGAATGAGAATTTCAAATTTTGCATTGTATAAAAGAACTTGTGAATTAAATAAAAGCTCTTTTTTTGTCATATTGTTAATTTGAAGATTTAAAAAGATTTAAGAATCTTTGATTGAGATTTAAAAAGAATGAGGATTTGAATTTTAAATTCATCCAGACTCTAATTAATACTTTTTACATAGATTATCACTCGATATTCTTATATAAATTTGAGTGAAGTTTTAACTAACAAAGCGAATGATGGCAAGTATCCCACTGAATATGAAGTTTGAATAATTTTTCATATATAATAAACAATATATAGGCCAAATTATTGAATCTACGGTAATTAGTTTTAAACAAAGCTAACAAAACTGAGAGCAACAATTATAGAAAAAATTTCAATAACATTTCGAACAACTACAGAAGTTGTTCGAAAAAGAAAACCATAGGCATTATTTCCTTAAATTTTGTCCCTAAGATGTGTTTTCACTCGTAAAATTTCGCAAATTAAAATAATTAAACAGTTTTTAGCATCGTTGCTGAGAATGTTCTGTATCTATGTGAATATAAAACTTCTTATATGACCTCAGAAACGCAAATATTCCATTAGTGTAATAGTACTTGTTATACTTTAAGAAGTAATACAAATAAAGTTAGATACTTTTATATGCCAAATTCGGGAAAATCTGCTAGTTAGATCACATTTTAATGAGTATATCGATGTAAATGAAATTTCCCCAAAATTCGATACGCTTTAAGTAGCGACTATGAAATAAAACTTTCTGGTTTCAGCCATTACGAATATTAACTTGTATAAAAAATCCTGTACTTTTGGTTGTGCATGATATAACTGATACTGATTACTTTCTTCTTTTGCAGTTTTTCGACCCAGGAAAAGTTTTGTATCTCTACGAGAGCCCTGCTGGTTACGGCATCATTGCACTTCGCCTTCTCGGTTGGGTTTGGTTTGTCTACGCTGTCATTTTTACAATGATCCACTATCCTGAGAAGTCACATTTTTATACTAAATTGTTTTTACTCTATTCTGTGTGGTAAATATTTCTTGAAGAACTTTTTTATATTAAAACTTCCGTCTTCTTTTTTTTTTTTTTTTTTTTTTTAAATCATGAAGCCTTTACTGATTGAACAATTAAGCAGTTTAAAACTATAAAATCATCATTTGCTTGTTTGCTGAATTTCATTTCAGTTTTCATTTATGACGCTGGAATCAAAATCAAAATCATTCGAAAAAAATTTCATAAACACAGTTTCTTAGGAATATATTTAGTACTGAGGAATAAAACGGGTCGGTGACACTTAGCCGACGAGACACTTAACCAACAAGTCATTTAGTCAACATGGATTAATCTAACACTCCACCGCCAACATTTCCTTTAAAAGCACAATTAAAAAATAATAGTGAATTTTACTCTGGTATTTAGATTTGGAACATTCTTCTCATTTTCTAGCAACGCATTTATAAAGGTCTAGCCTAAAAAAGCAGTTTTATGTATTTAGTAAAACGGTCACTCTCTGTTACGCCCAGCATCGGCCGATCGGTAAAGTCACTGAGCACTGGTAGTTCGGTCCGAATTTCAAATCCCGCGAATGGACTGCCTGCATAGGGGTTTTCGTAGTTTTCGACATGTGAACGTGTCGAAACGAGCCAGTTTTCCTTAGAAAGTCTTCCACGAAGGTATCCCTCTCCTTAGGCAGGTAGCCTTCTGGCTTTGCCGTAATTACATAAAACAAACGAAACCAAACCTACTTCTTTTAGGTGGCAGCAGGCCACGAGGCACGAATTCCTGGACCGGAGCCCTATCCCAGATTAATAAATATACAATGCCTAACGTGTAAATAGCATTCTAGGGGTGTAAATAGCATTTCAGAAAAAAAAAAAAAAAAAAAGTTCCAGTGTGCCGAGGAGCAGAGCGAATCACTCTACTTCCTGACAGGGAAAGAAAATTTCATTAGTGGGAGGAGCTAAATGACTTTAAACGGAAATGCATGTAGCATGATGTGTTGAGCAAAGTAGTAATGAAATGTGAAAGTATCATCTGAAAGCATCGAAAAGAGCGAGACTCATTGTCAGCTTAATGTTCTGTCGGCTAACTATCTGTATCGACAAAATATCCTCTCGGATAAATGTCCTTGTCGGCTAAATGTTCTGTCGGCTAAGTGTCCTTGTCAGCTAAATGTCCTGTCGGCTAACTGTCCTTTTCGGTTAAATGTTCTGTCGGCTAACTGTCTGTGTCGGCTAAATGTCCTATGGGCTAAGTGTCTATGTCAGCTAAGTGTCCATGTCGGCTAACTGGTGTCGGTAAGTGTCCGCGACTGGAGTAAAACTGTCATTTAATCTTTAACGGAATATTCATTGAATGTTAACGAACAAAGCTTCTACTGGGGTTATTTTTGAACTTTGTAAAACTATGTTTTCCCTGGCGTATGACATATAACAATAATTCAAGTATGAAATGAAACAAATGCATTGTTAAAGCATTATACTCTGAAATACCAATTAAAGAATTATTCTTTAGATCGGATATTTTTGTGATTCCTAATGTCTATTTTAACTGTGAATATTATTACCTTTTAATAAAATTTAGAGTTATTTCATTGTCTTAAGCTTGCTGAATATCAAAGCAGTTGCGACAGTAATTTTCAATATCACAGATATGAAAAATTATTTCCTTCACTTGCCACAATGCTTATCTTATTTTATTAAGAAAGAGCTAATAAAATTGCTTTATCTAATTTAAAATTTAAATGCAAAGAGTATCGTTTTAATCGAACATTCGATAACTACCAATTCTGGATCCTGACGCAGCAGCAAAGTGGTTTTAATCGTCATTTGATAACTACTAATTCTGATCCTTACGCAGTAGCAAAGTTATTTGCCGCAATAAAAGACAAGACAAAGAAGTTGGATTCTTGCAGTTTGCATTGGGATGTTCTTAATTTTACATAAATAATAAATAGTAATAAAGCAAATTATACAACTTAAATGTAGCCATATTAGAAAAAAATTTAAATGCACAAAATATGAGAGATTGATTTTCAAAACTCGGAAAGCCAAGTATTACCATTGGCAGAACAATAACTTTAATTTTCTGAAATGGATAACTTAATGTAAATTTCATCGCTTTGTGTCATGTACAGAAGACACAAATGTGATGCAGTTGCTATATTGATTTTCGTACATTTTATTAATTAAATAAAGAATACATAATTAAACGCACTAGGCAGATTTATTAATTAGATTTCTATACTTTTAAATTAGGTAAAAAATTGAAGGAATTCATGAAAGACATAGTATATTACACTGATTAGTATGGAATAGGTAAAGTGTTTAGCATAATTACTTGCAATGCCTGTACTTTTCAGATTTTTGTGAGGATTTTTTTAAATGCTAAGATTTGAAACGGCATTGCTTAACCATTTCTTGAAGTGTTGCATTATTATGTCAATCCTATGACGTGTTCAGTATGTTTTCATATAATAAGTCTAATTTAATGAATCTAATATCAATTTCCATATCCTTTCTTTCGTCGCATTCAGGACATGACTTGAAAATCTATGCACTTGCGTGGTCAGACTGCAACACGCAAGTTCATAAATTTTTCAGTTCACATATAGTCCCCTGAGAATTCTAAATGTATAGCATGATCGAGGGTAAAGAGCGGTTCTTTCAAATGAAAAAAATAAAAGTAGTTACTTTCATCGATTTGCATTGAAAGATACTATATGGAAATACACTAGTTGCTGTTTTAAATCCTTTTACATCAAACTTCTGGTTATTTAATAAGCCTCATTCCTTATGAACAATGTTTTGTGCATAAAAAATAAGAATAATAAGAGACATAAAAAATTCACTGTTCTATACATTCTAGTATCACTGGATTTTTCTGATAATGGTTCGATTCTGAAAGAATATGCAGCAAATTCTTACTATTATGTTTGTCACTTTAAAGTGACCATTTATTGACTGTTCAAGATCTTTTTTTTTTAATGTAAGTACAAAAGTATAAAAGACGAATTTATCAATTTTATTAAAAGCGTATTCACTTGGGTTTAATTCTCCTTAGGTAGCATCTCAAAAAATTTTTTGGATAGAAGTCGAGAAACATATTTCATATACGGCATAGCAAAGCAGTTACCTCTGTTAATTCATCAGTCAATACAACTTGGATAAAATTTGATATTAGAACCATTTCTTGTTTAAATTTTTATTTGGTAGTTTGGTACTCGCGTATTACACTCATGTCCATAAATTAAGGATAATGCAAAATCAGGCAAAGGAAGAGTTAGAAGGAAAACAAATTTGACTTATTTGTAAAGCTTATTTATTAAACAAAAGGTAAAGAGCAAAAAAGATTCTATATGTTTGATCCCTGCTAAAAATGCCCCGTAGAAAGTCAGTAAAACTTTTTATGGGTACCCATAACATTTTATGGGGTTTTATTGACTTTTACTGGTTTCTGTTGGTCTCTGTGGGTTTTTCTTATTGGTTTCAAAATGACCCATAGAAACCAGTAAAACTTTCTACTGGTACCTATAGAATTTTTGATGGTCTCTACTGACTTTTACTGGTTTCTATTGATCTCTGTGGGTTTTTCTTACTGGTATCACTTGACACCCATACAAACCAACATCAATGACAGAACTTTGTACTGGTTTGCATAGGTTTTATATTGAATTTTACTGGTTTTCTTACTGGTATCAATATAATATAAATCTTCTGTTGGTTTATATGGGTTTATGCTATTTTTTATCTGACGTTAATAGACTTCTTGTAAACAATAAAATTAACAGAATGAAAATATGATCTCTTTTAAGACCATCAGAGTAACCAGGAAACGCAGGTGGTCGTTTTAGAGAGGGTTTTTTTACTAAATATGCTTATTTATTTGATTTAAAAATTGTTTTTTTTTCGGAAACAATAACAGTAAATCATATACACCACACCAACGAGGTCTCTCTAAGGCGACCAGCCGCAAATAAAAATTCATCTTTGAAAGTGGTCGCCTTAGAGAGGTGATGCTCAATACCAATATATACTCACGTTCTCAGAGATACGGTTATCTCTTAGAGGTGGTCGTCTTAGGGAGTTTGCATCTACGGAATGAATCTCTCTAAGGCGACCAGCCACACTAGCAGAATTTTCTTTGTGAATGGTCGCCTTACAGAGGGAATATTCAATGCCAAAGTATACTTATGTTTTCAGAAATACTGGTTTCTTTCAGAGGCGGTCGTCTTAGGGAGGTGGTTTTTTGCTACGAGTTGGTTCTCTCGAATACACACACATAAGCACTTAACATTTCTGATATCACAAATAAACACCAGTATCAAATAACATCTCTTTAACGCGAACAAGTTCATTCACAATCGCAAAACTTTTCTGCTCTGTTAACGCTGACGTGAGGAAAAAAATTCCCCCTCCCTCCCCCACTCTCAGATGTTTCCCAAACAAAGCAATATGGCGCCGCCCTGTAGTTTATTGCTGTGCGAATGGTGGTGTTAGTTTTCTTTGTGGTTGTAGTAATGCAATATATTACTTTACTATGCTTTACTGTATTACAAATTTTACTATGTTTTTACTGTTTAGAAATTAATAATAATAATAAAATACCAGCACTGACTATGAATATACCACTAAAGCCATGCACGTGTAATCGTGTCTAATGTTTGAGAGAACGTTGCTGATAACTGACTAGTTGTGAAATGGAGTTTCTGAGCGTGTAATTGATTTTCCATCTTTACTTTTATCCTGAAAAACAATGTGCTTAAAGACTGAAAAGTAATAATTTCAGACTTAATAATTTGGTTCAGTGATCAGATGCAGAAATATAGTTTTTGCATTCTACTGAAATTCTATTTTGGAAAATTTATTTTTTTGATTACAGTTTAGAAATACTTTTTTAAAGCTTGTTCATGTAAATGCTTTATCATTTGAATATTATGTACTAAAAAATTTGAGCATACCTTACTTAAAAATGATCTTGCATGATTCAATTTTCAATTTTTCGACTAATGTGATGTGGCCGAGCAAAAA